GGATGTCCACATTCTCCGTCTCGAGATCCGAAAGATTGGGCCGGGGTCGAAATCATTCTACAGAAATTTACCCAAGGGAGGAAGAATTCCCTTGAACTGCAATGCATCGAAAGTTTGGCTGCCGACTGCGAAAGCTTCCGAGTCATCTTAGCCGAAGACGAGAAGCAGGTGTTGACAGTGATCGAAAAGAAGGGAATGAGCAGACAATTCATTGGAAAGAAAGTCATAGTAAGTCTCCTAGCTATAGTCACATCTTCCCTGAGCGTGGGGCTAATGAGAGATAGTTTGTTGACAGAAATTCGGCAACCATCGGCCATAATCAAGAGACCGTGATAGAGCATGACTCCAATCACAAGGACCTTTGTATGATGTCGGGGGGTAGCGGAACACTTGAAAAGGTCTTTGATTTTCTTCATCCAGCGATAGATACCACAAGACAAGCCATCGCGAAAAAGTCTCCAAAATGTGAGTACACTACGCCATCTTGGGAGCGTGCTAACAATCAACCAGATGCAAGACCCTCCGTCTTCGATGAATCCACTGTCAGAGAGTACATCAGTGATGAAGAAGATCTCGAGGCCGATTTCAAATCCGTGTCCAGTCAGTTGAGATGTTACATGTGAACAAATATGTGTTGCTAACTAAGCCCTCAAGGCCCGCTACGTGTTCAAGATCTGTCCATTCTAGGGCAGTCGGATCCAAATTCTTCAACCAAGTGGACCAAGGAGGCTACCACAGGCAGCGACAAGATCAACCCCGACTTCATTTCTGCATTGAAAGATTTCACTATCCAACATCGAGACCCTATTTTGCCTTGCAAGAATATTCCATTGCCCAGGGATCCCGTTTTTTCTGGGCGCGAGGATACACTAGCAAACATTCGACAGGCCCTCTTAGCTCCTATCCAGGAGCCAGAGAATGAGTCCAACAGCTCTCTTAGCGACATGATCCCATCGTTGAATGTGTATTCCCTCTGTGGTCCAGGCGGAATGGGAAAAACCTCCATTGCCAACGAATTTGTTCACAGGTATGAGAAAGAGTTTGATGCCGTCTTCTGGGTTGCAGCGGATGAGGAGACGAAACTCTTCAACGGCTTTCGAGAGATCGCTCTCAAACTTGGCATCATTTCAAAGGCCGATGGCAAAGATCTACCGGCTATCCGAGAAACGCTCTTGGCATGGTTTGCGAACCCTCTCAGATCGTATGAACATATGGACCACGTCAAACCAGAAAGGGCATCCTGGCTCATAGTGTTTGACAATGTGGACAGCGCTGACACGCTGGAGGACTTTTGGCCGAAAGAGGCTGCTGGCTCAGTTCTTGTTACCTGTCGGGACCCATTGATCAGAAGCTCCATGTACTTAAGGAACACTGGAATCATCGTTCCTGAGCTATTGGAACAAGACGGAATAGCTCTACTCCTTCAACTCACTGGTCGCGAGAGCGACGAGGCTGATTTAAAGCAGGCGCCTGACGTTGTTAGAGCCTTGGGTCGATATCCCCTTGCCATTGCACAAATGGCTGGAGTCATATTAGCTCGAGACCTCAGTTTCAACGAATTTCTTGAGCTGTACTCCGAGGAGACAGAACGAAGAGAAATGCTGGGAATCTCAGAAGGACAATCGGCTTCTCTTCGAAGGTACAACCAGACCCTTGGTACTGTATGGGCTCTGGACGACTTGAAAGAGGGTAGGGCCCTACTCGAAGTCATATCATTCCTCGATCCGGATAGTATCCCAGAATCACTTCTCGAAAAGAATCCGGCGTGCAAGGATTGGGACCGCTATCCCAAAACGGCATTAGAATACTCGAAGGCTCGTGCCGAGCTACTATCAAGGTCACTGATATACAGGAACCGAGACAAGAAGACATTGCGTGTCCACCGGCTGATACAGGATACGGTGAGAGCCCAGATGGATGATGCAACGTTCAACGAAGTATACTCTAGAACCCTGGATATGCTTGGCGCTCGGTGGCCAAGGGTTTTCAAAGGCTTCGGAAATGTACAAACGGACTGGCTGCAAAATGCTCAGCTTTGGGCCCACGCCCTCTCGCTGTTCAAGTACCGAGATCGCTTCGACCCGGCCGTTGCTCCCCATGCTACTGCGATCGAGCGGATGGACTTCACTCTGGATGTGCTGATGTATGCGAGTGAGTCATCTGATGCATGATGAACAAACTGACAGATAGACTAGGTTCAGCATTGCGGATTCCAGATTCAGTGCGTCGCCGACATTGCTAGCCTTTTTCAGCTTCCTGAGAGACGCCGTGAGCGAAGAAAACCCAAGTTTTGAGCTGCGGATGATTGACGCCACTTTCCACTACCGCCGAGGAGAACTCGGACTGCATATTAACGACCGCGAGCATCCTTTGCCCGATTTCAGTGAATGTGTCAAACAGCTAGATCTACTACTGGATGATGACGCCAAGAAGGCTGATTCCTACTTTGGTGCCACGGTGAACGAGCTTGGCTGTGCCTATCTGATGAATTGGAATGACGAGGATGCTCTGATTGAATTTGAGAGAGCAGTCACGATTTTAAAGAACCTGAAACACCCTTCAGCGCAGGAGACTACTATGGCATCGATCAATGTGGGATTTGTTTACGGTTACCTTGGACGGTATGACGAAGCCGTGCAAATCTTCGATCTTGCATTGAAGCAGCGTAATGCAGAGCTTGGTCGGGACGATCATTCCTCCTTTGTGTAAGTTGACTGGACCAAATTACTTGCTGAGATTCTAATGACATAGGAACGGTAAATTGTACATGGGCTGGGGGAATGTTTTGGCTGCCCAGGGTCGACTCGACGAAAGTTTCAAATACCATGTCAAATGTCTAGAGCATTACAAAAGCTCTGTCGGCAATTTTCACCATCGAACCGGCGACGGATGTGTCAAGGCTTCGGACCATTTTGCTCGCACGGGAGACGGTCCTACCGCGCTGTAAGTTCCGTCATCCAAATTGCACTATGGGAGCCGCTAATCTTTGCAGCGCGTTGCTTGACCAAGCCCTCAAGATCTTCAACCTTGACGCCTATCACCAACCGGAAGCTGCCAGAGCCCACTACAAGAAGGGAAACGTATTGAATATGATGGACCAAGAAGAGGAAGCCAAGGAGGAACTACAGACGGCTCTTGAAATTTTCAACAGCATTGTTCCTCCGGAAGACCGTGTTGGAAGCATCGACGAATTGGACGACGAGGATTTTGATCATTGGATCATTTTTTGGTCTCGATGATAAGAGACGCTTTCATTAGCCTGGTACGATAACACAGTGACAGATTGTTTTAAGAAAGATATTTAGCAAATAATCCAGTTACTGAGGAATGAAAAATGTGGGCGTGTTAGCTTGAGTAAGAAAAGGGTTTTTGGATGTAACTTCGCAATGTATATCTTAATCAACCTATATCTTGGACTATTTTAAAATATCTTGACCCCCGATTTTAAACGATATTAATGTGGCCCTCCTGTCTCCATAAGCCGGGTACGATCCACGCGTTCCATGTTGACACCCACCTTACGGAAGTGATCGGCCTCGTACTGCTAACCGTACCTAGCGTCAGTGTATCCATCTAGCCGAGTCCCGATCTAACCCCACCGCTTGTCGGAAAACTCATCGCCGCTTTAGAACTTCAAAATACCTCCGGTAAATACGAAGATGCCATCTTCATGCCTGCACTGGTCCTTCAAGCACTTCTGGAGTGGTCGGAGAAAACCTCCTCCGGACTCTCGGACCCTGGCGGAGCTGCCAAGTAAGGGGTTGGATGACGAACGGGGCAGGATTTTGATACCAGTGCGGCAGTGTCTAACTGCTCCCGTGTATGAGCGATGTCAGTCAACGCCTTATTGAGGATCGAGAAGAGGGTCAAGTGAGCTGGCGGCATGCTGTCAAACTACTGGGATGGGGCTGATCAGGACTGCGGGGGTCGAGAAAAAAAGGACTAAAGGCCGTGGAGGGTTTCAAAGGGAACAAAGATGAGGAATTCGCTATAATTTGGTGAATCAGTGCAAGGCTTTCTTCGCCAGATGTCTGGGATATTGGCAGGCGGTGATGCCAAAGGTCTTGTGTATGAATTGCACGATGCTCTGGCTGACACGATCGGCCATCATACCAGGGGCCCAAGGGCCTCGTTGGTGTGAATTTGAATTAGCCGAGAGCTGGAACGGTCCATTAGGTAAGTTCTGAAGCAGAAGCATTTATTCTTGGTACTAGGAGAAACCCGTCTAGTACTGAGAGCGGAGAGATTTCACGCCAGGTTGTTCATAGGCGAGGCATTCGGCGGGACGATGTGACACATTAAACCAAATGGCAAAAATATTCAATCATATGGTATATATAGCTTCCCAGTCTTGATTCTTTGTATGTTTTTTTCTTTTCTTTTTTTCTTTTTTTTCTTTTTAATTTTTATTTGTTCGTCTCTTCTTTTTCTCTGACTGGGAATCGAACTTATTGGGCCAGATGACCAAAGTATCTTGTAGGTAGAATGACCGCTGCGTTAAATTCAATCCTCCACATGTTCCTGAGGGGCTTTATAGTTATTCCTCTTAAAAGGGAAGTCCAGTTTGCTCCATAGAAGGGGTGGAAGCGGGTGGAAGGTGAAGCTACCTTGAGGGTATCCGTGGCGGCGAACCTGGAAGGAGTGGATGAAGTGAGAGGCGAGTTTGATCCACACTATCAACGCCCCATCAACTTTACAAATAAAGTTCATGCTACCACTGGGCAGTTTAACCTGAAATTATCGTCATGAAGACAAAAAAGTCGTGTCTACTGGTTGGTATAAAGAAAGAGCTGTATTGTAACCGCATACAGTCGGAGATTCTAGACGGAGCGAAGCTGGAATATAATAGCGTGTGACTTTTGCAGCATACGCCACAGTCAGCCACCAGTTCGCCAGCCACACAGTGCCCGGCAAAAAGACTCAGGCGTAAAACACCAACAAGAAATTCATCGGCAGGGCAAAAAGAAGGGAATGCGAAGCCAACGAGGCTCTAAGTTGCTTGCGTAATCTGGGAATCGAACCCAGGGCTCCCCGAACGTTGCTCGAATGGCAACGGAGAATTTTACCACTAAACCAATTACGCTGGTGAATTGTGGCAAATTTGGCCGCGGAACCGGGTATACATGCGCTGTGCTGGATGTATGGGTCTGAGAACGTAGCATACAGTAGGATACACAAAGTCTCAATCTAAGCTGTTGTACTGAGTATGTATCGCCAATTTGTATTAGGTATACTATATTGCCATCTTAAGGGTGAGGGTTTGGGTGAAAATGCTAATCGATCTGTTGATGGGGCTTGTAGTAGAGGAACTGGGGCTTGGTTCATCGGTTAACCCACTGACATCCCCTTGAGGATCCAAACAGAGATAGACTATGTACTCACCCAGTCGGCGTAGCTGTAGCAACATCAATCTGAAACGGGCCATCCTCAGCAAGAGGTGGGAATTTAGATATGATTAACGTGTAATCCACAGTCGCCAAACCCAAGTTGATGACCGGTTGTGGCTGGTCAAGGGTCAGCGCTGACAGGCCATAATCGCCCAGGCAGAAGCCTTGACCGATTATGTAGGATTCAGTCTCTGACAAAGATTTCTCACAGCCCAGTTATAGCACACGGTCAGGGAAATACGACCGTACGCCTTTATTAGGCACCTCTCCTGGAAATACATACTATCTAGTTCTGTGTCGTCGAGGAACAATATTAGCTCGCCATGTAGCCTAACTATGAATGAGGAGGCTCGAGGTCTTGTAAACCGATTGAATGTGCTATTAAATGGAGTTGTTTTAATAGAACTGAACAAAGGTTGACTGAACGCCGTACGCCTGTTGCATCGACGTTTTAAGCCCGGTAGCTAGGGAATATCTGCGTCCCAATTCTTAAGGAATGTCTCAATTTCCTCGTCAAAGGGCACAACCTTGCCCTCCCAGTGTTTTCTTGCCAACCCCAGTCTCTTCACATCGTCCAACATCGATACAGTCGGTGACTTCTCTCTCTTGCCATAGAGCCTCACACCAGCTCGAACAGAACCACTCCAAGGCTTGATCTGAACTCCCTCGGCATTCACTCCGGGCGCCGTGATTGATAGTTGGTCCATGAACCGACCAGATAGAAGCCACGACTTGATAGCTGGAGACCTAGCAAGTGCATAACAATTTCTGATGCCGTTTGGTCCGGCATAGTAGACTGACGCTCCGTTGCGCACCAGGAACTTGACAGCGTCAAGGCTCCCGCACAGGCTCGCGACCATGACAGCTGAGCCCAAGGGACATCCTTCAAAATCAATCTGAGCACCCATTTCCAAGCAGTTCGCAATGATGTCGGGGAAGCCCAGTGATGCGGCGCGGCACAAGGGGCTCCAGCCACGGGATGGTTCCAGGTTGAGAATTGTCCGAAAGGTGTGACATGACAGCTTCCGTTGGAATTTGCGGAACTTAGTTGTTAGGAAAGCAAGTTTGGGGAAACTAACAGAATCCAGATGCCAAGGGAAAGGCGTTGTTGTTGGTAGACCAAGATCCGCATCGAGCACAACGTCTGACGTATTGTCCTGGGAGATGATAGAATGCATCAAGCTCCGGCCACCCTCATCTTCCAGGAGCAGGGAGTAGTTCACGTCATGCAGTTTCAAGACATCCTCGGGAGCGATCTCGATATCAATACAGGGCGTGGGCCCCAGTCCAGTGGGCAAGTCGTTCAAGAATCCCTCGGGTAGTTGTGAAATAATGATGGGATACAGACCCACAAATTGCTCCGCCGTAAGAAAGCGCAGGGAGTCAAAATGCCCGTGTCTGCACAGTGAACTAGTTGGCGCGCCTAAGCTGATCAGGTGTTGTGCCATGTCAGCGGTTCCAGCACACATCAGCGGTGTCCAGCCATTGGCACCAGCTCCATCGATTGATGACCCTTCCTCAACAAGGAACGAAACCATCGATTTGTTGCCAAGATATGAGGCAAAATGAACTGTGCTCCATCCCCACCAGGGTTGATGGCAAAGACGATTCAAAATTACATCTTTAATCTGGTGGAAGCGCATTCTGTATTTTCGTCTTCGATGTCACATTAGCAAGTATAAGATATAAGACCAGAACGTTTCAGGTTTAACTTACTCGAGCATAGGACTGCAAGCTTCCAAGGATTTTAGCAGAAGCTTAAGTCCGTCTGTATTTTCTTCATCCGCGGCGCGATGTAATGGGAAGTCGTCTCCCGAGACCAGATCTCCTCCTTGAGCACAGTATTTTTCTACGATTTCTGGCAGTAGCGGGTTGAGACCTGGATTAGCAGCGACCTCCTCGATCACACTATATGCGTCAAGAGCGTTATTCCAAGGTTTCAGCACACTCGCCCCTTTCGACAGAAGCCATTCGGCCATTTCCAAGCTTTCGAGCTGCAAAGCAAGAACCAGAGCGGAGCTCGCCCCGCTTTCACGCAACGACACATCGACTGGGCAACCTTGGCTGAATAGCCTCTCGCACTCGGCTTGGTCATCATCTCGAACAGCATCCTCAAGTGCATCTGCGAGGATTTGGAGCTGCCGTAAAGGCAGATCCTCCCTAGGATCGAATGGCGGCTGACTCGCATCGTCAGTGGATATTCCGTTAAGCAGTGAAACCATCTCAAGGAAGTCTCCCCTTTGAGCATACCGCACTGGGGTCTTGCCATAAACGTCCATCGTCTGCGATGCCCCGTGCTGGATTAGGAGTTCCAGGACGGGCAGAGATCCTCCCTTGGCGGCAAAATGTAGTGGAGTTTCTCGACAGTTGGTTTCCGCCATGATATTGAACCCTCTGGAAAGAAGAAGCTTCGTTGTCTCCACGGAACCTGCGAAAGCGCTAATATGAAGAGGGGTCAAGCCTTCAGATGATTTCGAAACGTTAGTCGAGACGAGATTCTCGCCAAACAGGAATTGCAGACATCCTGCGTCGTTAGCCATGGCGGCGCAATGTAGGGCATTTGCCTGCCTAGTTCTGAGCAATTCCTTGTCTTTCCATTTTTTATTAATGTCCATTGGCATCTCCCAGTCGATGACGGAAGAGCTACTAGAGGTGTGAACAAGCAGTAGCTTCAGAAATGCCGCATTCCCGGTTTCGATGGCGGCCTGGACTGCTGTCGGAGAGTTTGGGGAGCCTTTGGCCATGGGATCGGCCCCTAATTTCAGAAACAACTCGGCACATTGTGTGGAAGACTCGTATAGGTGATGGGCGAGAACAGAGATTTGTCTACAGCCTCCGGTCATCAGGTTAATGTTGGCGCCTCTTTCAATCAGCGCCTCCACTAACCAAAGGATGCTGGTTGTATCCCTGCTTGTCGCAAGCCTATGGAGAAGCCCTAGGCCATCATCGGCAGGTAGAATTTCATTGAGTTTCTCCTCGATACAATGGCTTAAAAGTTCCTGGAGGATGACCTTCCCATCTTCAGAACTGGAAAGGTGAAGAGCGTAGATGGAATGGCAGGCAAGACTGATTGGCGACCAACCGTTGCTGGGACGGCCGTGAATGTCAATTTGGTAGTTGAGAAACAGACGAGTTAGATCTAAGTTCGAGTATCGGATAGCGCTATTGAAGAACACGAGTACGGCGGATGAATTCATTGTCTCTGCTAAAAAGCCTGTTTGTGAAAGTGCGTCGCGAATGTGGTCTGTAGATGCGTAAAGAATTGGGTCAAGTGCCTGATCAATCCCAAGTATTCCTAGGAAAAGTGGGAGCAATCCAGACTGCTGCATGAAATCTTCGTAGACCCGCATCGCTCCAAGTCGAAGCATGGCCGCGGTGACGTTGTTCACCAACAACGAGCGGCCTCTGACGGTATTCCAGTGTAAGCCTTGCTGCAAAATTCGACCTGGAAGATGGCAGGCGAAGGTCCAGAGTGATTGCTGGCTGCTGATGAGACTCGGCGGCGCGAGGGCTTCAATAATAGTCGCGTCGGGTTTGGCTTCAAGTCGCAGACATGTCATAATGTAGGCCTCGACCGGTAGGTCACCTTCAAACCTGTACTGTAGTGCCTCCTCGTAGAGGCCTAACAATGCTCGTACGGCTTGCAACGAAGCCGCGGGCCCTAGGTGGTGCAGGGGCGTACGGGATCCCTCGACTGCTGTTTCGGCTGTGGCACCGGCCTCCTGTAGGCGACGTATGACCATTTCAGACCCGAAGTGTGCTGCTGCGCTGAAGGCTGGACCATGATTCTGCCAGTAGCCTGGTATTTTCGAGCACTGGTCCACGAGTTGGTGCGCATCCTCGGCTCCTTGGTTGTAACGAGGAGGATTCCACAACAGGAGCGAAAGTGCCGTATCGCCTCTAGAAGACTTCGTTTTAAGAGCACAGGATGCCTCCTCCCTGTCAAGCTCGAATACTTTCTTGGGAAATTTGGCGCGGGCCATACAAGCAGCCCACAAGTGCCAGATTGTGAAACCTTGGGCATTTTGACTTGAGAGGGAGACACCAAATTTCTTCAGCGTCCTAAAAACCTGGCAATCTTGGCAATCCTGGCATGACCAGTCATACATATGGATCGGGAGGTCACCTTTGGCGTTTTGGAGATAAGGATCACAGCCCGCATCCAGTAGCGCTTCAAGAGTTGCAGAAGCTCTGCGCTGAACCGCAAAGTGCAGCAACGTGTTCCCATTCTCGGAAAATGAAGCTCCACGGTCTAGTCGATCATCGGCGAGGCATCTCTTCGCTGATTCGACGTCGTCGCTCTCGATCGCTGCGAGCATCTTGACAGCTAGGGTTTTCTCTGACATGGAGATTCCCGAGTCGACTAGAAATGGATCGTCTGTATATGAGAAGCCGTGCTTGACGGCCAGGTGCCAAATTGTGGAGCCCATTTGCCTGCCCCACTCTGTATCGTAAGCCGACGTTGAAGTGAGGTACTGTAGGATCGCGAGCGTTGAGGATTCCGTGTCATTGTTCACGTTCTTCCTGCCCGCTCTCGTGCAAAAGTCAAACCTCTCAATTTCCGTCATGCTGGGGCTGATACCGCAGCGAAGAAGCGCGAGGACTGGGCTGAAATCACCGGACCACGCCCCAAGTACGAAAATAACGGAAAAAACAGAAAGGGTTCCCTCAATAACTTGGTTGCTTGATAGCTCTG